AAACTTGTATATGATTGATTTTCTTAATAATGAGCAAATTGAAAATTTAGATATCTTATCTATCACTATTCTCTAAACTAAAAACGTCTTATGATTTAATCCTTTGTTGTATGTGACGTTAGTAAAAATATTTCAATAAAGTTGATGATAATGATCTGTCGATCATGATTCATACTATATATTATACATATGCCACTGTAATTTTTTTTTTTTTAATAATAAGTAAAAGTGGGCATCCATCACGAACTTTTTTTTATAAAATTACTAGGTAAAATGCTACATGAAGGTCCGTAGAATTCATAAAATATTTGTAAGATATTATGTTTAGTCACATAAGATTATGTAGATTCAGTAATACTACACAAAAAATGCATAAATTTATATAAATTGTTAAGTGACTTTACGCTTACATAAATTTATATCAAACGATTGCATAATATTATTGTCATTTATGTAATGCTACGTGAATATATGGACCTTCGAAGCTTTGAAGTTTGTGATGTCAACATCAACATCATATCTCATGCTTCATTTTCTGCGAAAACCTTCTTAGATTCTCATTTCGAAAAATTACTTGACTTCTGGTATATCATAACTTTATATAAATTACATACAATTTCCAGCAAAAGTAAACTGTACCACCTATCAATTCTTCTTTCAAATAAAGTTCGATAAAAAAAAAAAAAAACTCATTTTTATTGTGAATACAATGTACAAAAAAAGAATAAATATATATTTAGTACGGAACGAAACAATTAGGATCTAATATTATAGGTGGGCTTTCATATGTTAGCTAATATGTTTTTGTAGTGAAATTCACGAATATAATATAATATAATCTGATTATATAGGATGTTATTTCACCGACAATCACTTCACCGACAATTAGTTCATCGACAAATTCATTTCACCGACAATCAATTTACCGACAAGTTCATTTCACCAACAGTTATTTCACCGACAGCTCATTTCTCCGACAATTATTTTTATAAATTGCATTACAGCTGTTTTCATAAATTCTGGGACACCTAAAAATTTCGATCTTGTTCTTAGAATCATTTAACTTTTCGGAAACTACTTCGCTGTCTCCATATCGAAGTTCCAAATACAGCGAAGTAGTTTCCGAAAAGGTAGGTGATTCTTAGAATGAGATCGAAGAGGTTTCGGGAAACGAGAAAATTTTTAGGTGTCCCAGAATTTATGAAAACAGCTGTAATTCTAACCTGATCCTAACAATATGTCGGTGAAATGAACTTGTCGGTAAATGGATTGTCGGTGAGTTACAGCTGTTCGTTGAACTAAGCTGTCGGTGAAGTGATTGTCGGCGAAATGCGCAACACCCATTAGGATTATATGTCTCCTATACTATTTAATAAAACAAATATACAATTAACTTTTATGTCCCTTTACCATTTAACCAGTATTGAAAATTCGACACAAATATGTTGTGCAAAAAAATTTTTTATACAGGAATGTTATTTTATTTTTTTTTTTGCATACTGGACAGTAATTGTTAATTTTTTACATGCACAACGAATTTTCAACACTATCATTTAAAATAATACTCCACTACAAATGAAATCTCTGGATTTATTAATAGTACGCGATACTATTCAATTTTAAAAATGGTGTTCTTGAATAAGACCCGGTATTTTATGTAGTACTAAACGATAATTATAATATCCTAAAAAGCGGGCTATAGTAACACCGTAATGGTAGAGCAAGAAACTGCATCAATCGATGATCTCCTTCCTGCTTGGCCGTTAAAGGAGAGAAATGCTAAAAATGATACTCTTGAGTTATATAAAAATTCTTATGATTTTGATATTGTTATAGTGAAGTTTATATAAAAACCCTTCCGGCACAGTGAAGAAAATTTCACAGCCTGATCACTTCACTATAGCGATAGTAGCCTGTACTTCCATTCTACCTGTGAGCGGAAGGGGATTGTAGAACGTGACGGGTGACCCTCACAAATGCTTCTATCCTTTTGATCTGTTGACCATTAACGGCGTATAGTATTATCAGGCAGGTACCGCATGATAACAATTAATAGTAATGTTAAAATTTTTTACTAAATACAGATTTTAAATAAAGAATCAGATTAATACCGGGTTCAACATCAAGTAATTAAAGATCAGATGTTATAAGTCTCTAATAATTAATTTATTAAACTAAGCTATTACGTATTTTATTATTTATACATAAGACATTGGTTTATCATTTATTATTTAAACCAATGTTCCATTTTCCCTTGGCCTCACTCATATAAAATACTATATATGTTGCTAAATTAATAATTACTAAAAGCTAGTACGTAGCTATTATATTTGCTTGTATATTTGTATATATTGTATACTGTATAAACAAAAAGTAAAGCTTTGTTAAAATAGTAATTTTCAAAAGAACAGCAAATCTTAAATATATTTTAAAATTTAAATATTATTTATATATATGCAGTAATTAAAAAGTTAATAAAATTATATATATATATATATACTGTAGACTAAATTAATTTTTTAGAAAGCTACAGTATTAATTAATTTAATTTGAATATGAACAGAATTTGAGCAGGTTTAAGATTTGAAAATTGAAATTTAATTAGGGTTTTTATTTTAATAGAGTTTACCATGGCCACCTAAACAAATTTTGGCTGTATTTTTCTCTCTACCTAGGATTTAACTTTGTCATAACGATGAAGCACTTTCTTGTTTTGATATTGATCTTTCGGAATTGCATTGTTTGGAGTATAACCGTCGGAATTTGAATCTTCAGGATTAGTATTAGTAATTTGTTATGCATCTGCTCATCAAATTCATCAAAAATTAATTTCTCGGAGTTGCGGAATATCGAATATAGAGTCACCGGGACTCTGATCTTCAGGATTATTATTAATAATTTCCACATGTGATTGGTTGATTAGTGATCGATCATTTATTTATTGATTGATAATCCACGACAATAATTTGAGATGGGACAACGGATTTGGACCCTATAATAGGAAGATTATGCGTCACAAGGTGTCATTGATAAACTTAGTTTTAATTCGTCTTATAATGCTTCCACAATAATAAAGGAGGATGATTGAAAAGTGTCTATACAATCGTCCAGTTTATCCGAATATTCATAGCAGACAGATAATCAGATACAGATAAGCACCGTTTTGCCGAATAGATAAACGGATACTATCATTATACTGTCTCTATGAGACTAGTAAAATTCTCAACAATATTACTCTGGTCTCTTACATAAGAATGGCAAATTTTAGTCTAAATGCGTTTAAATCTATACAGTATTTGTTATATTGAATGGTTTAAAGGCATTAATCCAAAATTCTTTTTTTTTTTTTTAATCACTTTTAAATGATTGTTCATGCAGAATATATAAAATATTCACAATCAATTTTAAATATTTGCAGAAATAGTATAAATTCAAAAAAAGTGGCACTATTTTTATTAGTGACTATGCTTAGTGGCTTTAAAAAATCCGGCATAATCATTCATTTCCCAGACGATTGACTTTGGGGTTTCGCTCAATTCCTCGAATGTTATTCCTCGACAGGACATTACCCGACATCACATGGGGATTAGGGCAGTGTAAAAAATTCAGTTTGAGAAGTATGTGCGTACTCATATGATCTCATGTTTTTTTCATATTAAAATAAGAAAATTTGCGATCCGCACATGCGCACATCGAATTTTTTACACTGGGTTAGGGTTAGCATTTGACTAGTTGCAGGTATATATTTTAGCAAATTGTCACCTGAGTGATGTCGAAACTTACGAGGAAACGTGCCGTAACGGTAACCCTGATTTTTGGAATTAGAACAGAAAAGATAACTGTTTGTGAAACGGGTGAATCCAAAATCAAAATTGATGCAACATATGAAATAGATGATACTATATAGTTTGTGATACATATCCTATGTTATTACTTATATGAGATATTCCAGGGAGGGTATAGTATCATATTGCCGAAAATTATGTTATCCTAGCACGTGAGATACTGGCACTGTTTTTAGAGAGGTAAAAACGGCCTGACCCAGCTTGTATATTAATTATATCAAAAATTAATTGATCAATAAAGCCGATAAATTTCTTACTATTTTCGCCTAACGATTAATCACTACCGTATCTAGGTAAGTTTAATCTAAATTTTTTACGTAATGTGCTACTGTATGGACAAAGGACAAGGAAACCAGACTACTTGCGAAAGTTCAAAACGGCAGATCAATCTGTTTTTAAAGATCAAATATTTATCTATGAAGCTGCTTTATGTAGTGCATCTTATCCCTTCCTTTAAAGCATATTCTCGGCACTTAACTTACCCGACAGAACCATTAACAGACAAACTCTACATTTACAAACTTTTTTTTTTTGCACAAATACCCCGATAGTTATATTCTTACGACTGTTCTTGCTGATCATTTCCTCGACATTATCAATTTTCAGACAGTATCATCCCCCCTTTTCCCGTTTATCATCTTCTATAAAATTCTAGCATAAAACAATAAATCGGATAAACCATAAAACGTAAGCTGAATAATTGTCAGCAATCAGGGAAGTGGAATAGATTTTCAGGAAATGATACTATTGAGGAAGTGATATATCAGAAAAGCAGTTGTATCGGGGAAGTGTTTGCCAGGGGAAATGATATGAATCGCTTTTTGGTATTTTTTCTAATATTTAATTGATTTAGCATATCTTACAAACGGATCAGCTATCTATTCAATATTCCCAATTTTCAATGAAAATTAAGTATGCCATAATAAGTATATTAAAATATATTATTGTCTGGAACGTTAGCGGAGAATACAAGGGCTTATGGCGATGTAAAACAAAGCATCAAAAAACGTGTCGTTCTCTGCACGCGTATCTATATTTATACGTTCGTGTAACATTGTTTTACGTGTATTGCGGACATTTGGTACGCGTAAATTTTTGTAGTATAAAAAGTAATAAAAAGAGTCTACCAAATTTTTTTTGTGCTTTGAACTTACAATAATTCACGATATATTTATAAGCAGTGTTGTACATTTTTGCTGTCCACAGCCTTTTTTGACCTTGTCCACTTCCACAATGTCCACATGTCCAAGATTGTCCAAAGCTTGTCCAAGCTTTAATAATTAATAAAATTACATATTTTACTTAAAAATAAAAATAGGTTATCTTAATAAAATTTTGAGTAATTTTAACTTATTTATTTGTCCACAAATGTCCAAACTTATGTCCACAGCTGTCCTGTGACAACACTGTTTATAAGGATGAATAATATATATAAATGATAAATACAGTGTCCCCACTAGACCACGTTATTAACATATTTAACCAATGTTTATTTATGGTTTGAAAATACACTATTATATATTGCTTATAGCTAGAGTCAGGGCCGATGATTTTCTGGTTTGGTTAAGACCAAATTCTGTATGAAATTCTGTGATGTCATGTGCTGTTTTTTTTTAATGCACTCTGCGAAATTCTGTGATAATAAAGTTTAATTTTTGCGTAATTCTGTGGTAATTTAGTGTTGATTCTGTGATTAATGCGGTTAAAAATATAAAAATGTGCAAAGATTCCGTAACTTCCCGACAAACGTGTTCGTAATTTATGTTGATTTTTTGTCTACATTTCTGGGATTTCCTGAATTTATGGTTAATACTGCGATATTTTAGAATTCTGTGATATTCTGCGTTACTTTTTTTAGAATTTTGTGGTATATTCTGTGATTAGCTGTTTTTAAGGAAAATTCTGTGATCGCAGTAAATCATCGACCCTGGCTAGAGTATGCGACAGTGTTTGTTTTTTACGTATACAATCAAATTGTTTATTCTAAAAAAATCAGGTAATTTGATTGGATTCGTACATGTGAAAAATAAACACTAGTATGCAACATTATGTAAATTAAACTATGTGTGGTCTTAAAATAAAGTTATTGAGAGTATTTTTATGTAGATATTAATTTCTACTTACATGTCCTAATAATTAACATTAATAGTTTAGAATTAAACTTCATATAAATTAGTGTTGTGTCTCCACAAAGTTATAGAGCCATTTCTTTTTAAGTATGAATAATTTAACCTATTATTATTGTTATTGTTATTATTTTTTTTAAAAAAAAGAAAGGATTTAATTTAGTTTCTTTGTTAAGAGATGGCTTATAACTATTATTTATAGTTATATTGTTCTTGCAAAATTTATCCTAAGCTATCGAATCGTTAGTTAGGACTGTGCATCTATATAAAATTTGCAAAAATGATTATAACACGTAAGCAAAAATTAATATCAATATTAAAATATATATTAGGAGTAATTTATTTTAAGGCTGCATATAGTTTTAATTTGCATAATACACCCAACTATTACAAATAACCAAATAGACGATTCACAGAAGTCGTGAATACTGGAGATCTTAATAATCACTACGATCCGATACTATTACTGTAGGTATATAATTACTGAATCTCGACATTATTGCGTTATAACATTGCGTTTAAATGCTGCAAAAACAGTATAATTCTCATCTTTTTGGGCCTAGCCCCTGACAATACATAATTGAGAGTACGGATATATGCAATTCTAGTTGGTGATGTGCAATTAATTAATTACATATCTAACACTAAATTACTAAAATGACAGAATGAATCTTCAAGTGTTTTCAATTACGTATCATCATAAAGCAATCAGTGTTTTTAGAAATTAAGGCCGGTAAACCGAAATTTAAAATTTAGATTTACAGGTTTTCTTTCCTTTTGCTTCAAAGCCAATCAGAATCGATCACCTGTATTGGATCAGGATTACTTTAAAATGGGAAATCAGAATTAATTTGTTGATGATTGTGAATAACATGGAGTTAAAAAAGTGTGCTATATTACCGAAGTTTGAAAGAAAAATAGAAAGTACACTCTAACCCCTTAGAAAATCTGATCTCATGACAGATAACTTTATGATGATCGCAAATATCACGGAAAGACTTTCATATGGCTATCATTTTCTATTTAATTTTATATTATCTATACAGTACAGTGTAAAGTTTTTTTAAAAAAAAGTATATAAAAGTTAAGTATCTTTAAGAACGGATCATTCTGTCCCGTCTCTAATAAGACTGGTCTATTATTTAGTTATTTAAATCTATAACCGTCTTTTGGCTAGCAGAGAGGATTAAGTCATATGAAGTCAGTAATAGTGTTGCCTGCTGCAAAGTCACAACTTTGCGTCTCTTTAGAATTAGTTGCAACCTTTGCGAACACCCATTTGTTGCAAAGATCCGAGTCACAAGATCGAGTATATGTAATTATCGTTATTAGTAAAATGAATATTAAAATTAATGCTATCTATTACGTATAATTTAAAATTTAAATTATTTTTATAAAATATAATATATTATAATATTACGATTTAGGACTTATATTTTAGATTCCAATATTACATAATTTGAGTGACACCAAGGGAAAATGAGACCTCGATCATGTAAATTTATATAATTGAGGTCTCATTTTCCTTTGGCGTCATTATTTATTACACATTAAATTATATTTTATTGGATTTTGCGATATTATGTAATCTACCGCCATAGCGATGTATCGCTACCTCATTGTCGCATCGTATGATGTCGAGGTTCCAATTCAAAGCTCGCTTGTGATTAGTAATCATTATTACTAATCATAAGCGGAGTTTGAATATTGGAACCCAGCATCACATGATGCGACAACGAAGTAGCGATACATCGCTATGGCGGCAAATTACAAAGCCTTTTTTATAATTGCAACACTTGCATTTTTACGATAAGTCGCAAGTAATATTTGCAGCAAGCATACTGGTCAGTAATCAAAAATAATATACAGTCAGACCTCTCTAAGTGCACCCTCTATAAGTGCACACCCTCTCTAAATGCACGCTCAAGTGCCGGCCCAATTATATACTTGGCCTCCATAAATGCACTTTTCTTATTATTCTCTATATGCACATTATTAAAGTGTGGTCCCAAGGGCGTGCACTTAGAGAGGTCTGACTGTACAAGACCCAGGTCTTGTACACAGCTAAGCATTCTAAAGTTACTTTGATTCATAGAGTATCAGAGATCTTTTATATAGTCTTTTATAGTAAATTTTATTCATATAATTATTTAACCTTATTTTTTAAATAATTATTGGGTTAATGTTTTGAATTTTATTTATAATCAACTTAAGTTGGTTCTAGGTTCAAATTTAAAATTCACTTGCCTCTGAATCACAAAATTTCAATTACAATTACACTATGCATCTAGGACTTATATATAATTCTCATGTATAAACTACAGTATCTTTATTTTTAATAAATAAGAATGATGATAATAATAATTATTATTCTTCTAAGTGTTATTTTTATTACAATAATCATTATCATTAGTAGAAGCAAGCTCTAATAAATCATAATTGCTTTGTAATAAAATTTAAATTAATAAATTATAAATAAAAATAAATATAAAAATTCTTTAATAATTACTATTTTACTAGAATTTATAAATATTATACTTCAAGGCTTATTTTTTAAAGATATTGCACTTATTAAAATAAAATAAAAATTAGTAATATCCTGAATATATGCAAATGAAAAGTATGCGCTAAGCAGTCTACTACAAAATATCATCTAAATGAAGCTTTTCTGCAAATTTTGAATTTGTTTCTCTTTTTCATCTATCTGTCTTGTAATATCAACCTTTTTAATATTAGTATTTCACAAACTAAATTTTTCATCATGAATATCTCTCCTTATATAGTCAGACCTCTCTAAGTACACTCCTCTCTAAATGCATACTCAAGTGCTGACCCAAATATTTACTTGATCTCCATAAATACATACTCAAGTGCCAGCCCAAATATTTACTTGATCTCTATAAATATACTTTTTCTTATTATTCTCTATATATATGTAATAAAGTGTGGTTCCAAAAGCATGCATGTAGAGAGGTTTGACTGTATATATCAACCAAAATTGTTAGCCCTCGAAGCTAATATTAATCACTTCTTGAAGATAAATAACATTGCAGAAAGTAGTAATTCTGACAAAGGAGTATTACCCATTTTTTTACCTTATTAAATCTTGTGACTATATAGCTTTCTGTAGAAAAGGCTAGTTGTAAAAGGGGTTATCTCTCTAAAAAATGCTACAGTTTTATGGTAATACAATATTCAAATTTTTGAAATCATAAAAATTGCAATTTTTGTGATTATAAAATTGCAAAAATCTCTGATATATTTATTGTTACTAGAATGAAGAATAATGATTTAATAAAGAAATAGAAATAGTATATTAATGAATCGTATTTTTATATATCTTGGTATAAGTAAAATAATATATATAATGAAAAATTTACCTTCAATAAAATGACTCATCAAAGTGCTAGTAGAAGTAGAGTTAAGTAGTTCCTCTTTAAAATAAAGTAACTAATTATAAAATCAATAGTTACAATTTTTATTCCTATAATTATTGTGGACCCACATCTTGTGTTCGCTACAAGGCTATAAATTAAAATTAATTGGTATTTTTAAACCAGAAAAAAGAACTCAGAAGGCAAAAATGTCTATTAAAGACCTGTGAATTACTGCAGCAAGATTCAAACTTAAATACTGTATTAAGCTTTTTCATGTCTCGATCGAAGCCTTTTGTGTAGTTTAGATGATTTAAAAATAAAAATTGATTTAAATAAAATAGTTTAAATAATGATGAAATGATTGTTTGATTTATGACTTTTTTTTAATCAAAAATGATATTATTGGTATATGTATCTAATACCATGAATTATCATTAAAAATCTACAATCATTGTTATATTGTCATACTAGATCCTACTAACTTTTACTTGTACTACTTATTTTGTAGTTATTTTCTTTCTTTTATTGTATATATTATATCATTATTATCTAATATAGTTATTATTAATATATAGCCTTTATTTGTCTGTTGGTGATGCATAACTAGATTATATAATGCAACGCATACTCAATTATGATGTATAGACGCAATCATTATCTAAAGGAAATTAGGAATTTCTGAAAGTAGCAAAAATGATATTATTAGTAAAAAGGCAGAAAATACAAAGGATAATGTTTAGAGATAAATATTATTATAGACAAGGATGATAAGGTGAAATTCTATTAGTATTAAAAGAAATACAAATATTAAAGTGTTTGTGGCAAATATCTGAATGGCAGAAAGTAGTTGCCTAAGGAATAGAGTAAAGAATTTATGTAACCATCAAAATGTATTTAAAACTTGCATTTTATCTCAATAAAGTTTTTTTCAGATTTCAATCTATCTTTAAAAAGTATAATAATAAATCAATAAATAATTTAAATTATACAATTTATAAAATTCTCATACTTATCTTATTACTACATTGCTATTAAGTTACTTAACGATCAAATAAATTAATCATTTACTGAACTTATGTATAATACTAAATTTACTACTTAATTCACCCCTAGCTACTTATTATTACTCACATTCATCTCTTAAAGATATTATTTACACTTATAACTCCTTATAATTTCGAACAATTGCTTAAAAAAAAAATCTAAAGCATAAAATTTAATTATTTACCTAAAATAGTTAAGTGGTTTAAAAGATATATTGCTCAAATGTTAGGTAAAAGATTTCTAATAGATAGTTCAAGTGCTGAGTGAAATACATTAGAGCATTGTTGGTCACAACCCAAATGATTATTATATGTCTTTCATATTCTCCAAGCTTTTTGGTATTGGTTACATAATATAAAGCATACATAAACAAGCAACATAAAGGACCTATAATGAAAGATATAAGACAGATATTATATGCACAAATAGAAGCTAAAATGACAGATTATTATCATAAGTTTAAAACTAATTATTATAGTATATATCTACAATTAGAAAGACATATCAAATTGCTTTGGAAAAGGTGGCAATATTGGGCTTTATCATTACATTCTGAACTTTCTTTACATGGAAATTATACTAACAATTATATAGATTACAGTTTTGGTCTATTGAAAGACATTATATTTATATGCACATAGGCATATAATTGTGTTTAAGTGTTTTAATTTGTTATTACAGTTATGGAATGCTTCTATGAACTTTGATTACTTGGTATAGCCCATTGTTACCCTAGTCACCTTTGAATTGCCAAGAGGTTTTTATGTCCTGGCTGAGATGCTATTAATGCAAAAGAGATTCAACAAACTGAACTATATACAGAGTATTTAGTTCCATATCAAAAGGATAACAACATAGTTTATGTAGTAAACACTAAACTTTGTACATGTATATATTATGTCAGGTTATCTATAGCACCATACAAACACCAAGGAGTAGTAGCCGTAAAATATTGTATTGGGTCACTAAACTTTTTTTAGTTATTAGTAGCTAATAATCGTGCATGTTTCGCATATATCACATGTAGTAAGAGTTAATAATTTAAGCTAATCTCCAAACATTTAATAATCTTATTCAATTATTTTAAAGTCTTAAAGCAGATGATTCTTTTTATGCATTACTATATAATACTTAATATAAATATCGTGCCGTTAATAATGTTAAAGATAACATGCTTCAAGAAACTAGCAATAATGCTCAAGATTTACCAAAACTCAATATAGACGAAGTTGCTATGATAGAGTATATACAGTATATTCATTTTATATACTTATATTTGTAAGTTTTTAAAAATTATTTGATTTTAGAAATAATCTGATTCTTTTTGAGTCATTTATTGAAGCAATCAAGCATGATTACAAAAATGGTGGGCCACAACTTCAAAATGCTCTTGAAAAGTTTGCTGAATGATACAACACAGCAAAGGCTAAATCTATTTCAGCCTTAACAACAT